AGAGGGGCATAACATGAATGAAAAAAACGGAATAGATTTGAAGTCCAGCGGGTAGAGGAGTAGATTTCAATTTATTTTAAAAACCGGAGTAAATCTAATCTGATTTTAGTTGAGTCCAAACACTAGTAGGGAACGAATTCTTTTCATTTCAACGCTAATGACCCACAGATGGCGGGAAAACACAGGGTTGTATCAGACTTTCGACGTGGTTTCGAGTTGGTTAGCTTTTAACCGTCTCAGTGAAATGGTTAAGTGCTGTCATTTTTATATGGCGAAACTACGCTAAATCAAGTGGGTTATCGGGATAACCAACTCAATAGCCATAACTACGTGGTTAGCTCCGGTGGGGACATGGTATTAGGGCCGTTTGCACCATGTCTAGTTAATTCTAACTCCCAGTTAAAAATCTTTATCGACGTTATCGACACCCATCATATAACATGTGCTCGATAAAGCAGTTGACGTGCTTAACTGAAGGATGTACCTCCAGTTAGCGTTAACTAGATATGGTGCAAACGGCCCTTATACCAAGTCCCCACCAAAAAATTAACCATCTCAAATCGAACTTAACCACATCACTAACTATTGCTGTCCACACTGCGGTTTGAGGTTTATAAAACAGTACAAATGCAGAGAACAGTGTTCGGAGCTCCAAAACTCGATTCAGGACTAAATCGCTGCAAAAATCGGGGCAAAAACAAATTTTACGTATTAGATTGAATTTTTTATTTTCGTTTCTGACATTAATTGTTTGACTTAAATGTTTTCTATTCATGCAAAATAAGAACGCGAGGCAATGCAAGGATTACATATTTAGGTAATTTTTTTTCTATAAAGTTGAACATTTCTAACACTTAATTTTTTAAAGAGCAACAGGATCTAAACCTTTTCTACTTTATATAAATTTCATTCTACATATAGTCGATGTTTTTGCAAAACCGCCCATCGCCCAGTTGCAAAACCGCCTATCTTGCGGCACTAAAATTTTACAGGAGAGCTAATAAACCATTTATTGTTTGAAGGCATTGCAATGATAGGCGGTATTTTCTCTAGCTATTATTTTACAAATCTGTTGTTTTAATAACGATTTACCGATTTTTATTCATTTTGCCACAACGGCGATTTAGGCGGTTTTGCAACCGGTCGATGGGCGGTTTTGCAAAAACATCGACGATATATTTCTTAACAATTTAAGTAAAGTTCTGCATCCGCCAAATTCTACAACCATACATCAAACGGGGTTACTTTATTGACGCATTGGTATGAAAGAATTACTTATTAACAGTGAGATTTGGCTAACTTTCATTTTTTTTACTGAAACCGGTGGTGAACACTTAAAAAACGGCCTTAAGAGGAGCATAACATGAATGAAAAAAAAGATGGAATAGATTTGAAGTCAAGCGGAGTAGAGGAGTAGATTTCAATTTTTTCAAAAATCGGAGTAAATCTGATCTGATTTAGTGAAGTCCAAACACTAGTAGGGAACAAATTTTTTACATTTTAACGCTAATGACCAACAGATGGCGGCAAAACACAGGGTTGTATCAGACTTTCGACGTGGTTTCGAGTTGGTTAGCTTTTAACCATCTCAGTGAACCAATTTTCTCGATACAACAATCATAAGATGTAACCAAAAAATGAATCGACTATATCATGTCTATGTAATCTCAATCGATTTTCAGGTGTAGGAAAATTTAGAAACATGAAAATTTCAAAATGCTATATCTCAGCGAAAAAAAAATGATATTTGAGCAAACAAAACGCCATTTGAAAGAAGAAGACTTATACTTAGAGACGCCAGCCTATTATTTTGGTGAAAGAAAACATCTGCAAGGCTACATAACCTCAAATATGGGCAAAAACGGTGTTTTTTGCACTTTTAGGTTAGGATATCTCGAAAACCAGAGCTGATAGAGAAATTCTGAGGCCAGATTTGGATTCAACGCATCATAAACCTTCGGAAATATATAGTCTGGTTTCTGGGTCTGAATGTTGGTTAAATTTTGTCGGCCTGTGTAATCGAAAAAAACTAGTGAACACTCTAAAAAATCTGTTTAAAATTGCGACTATAAATCGTGTTTTTTTGTTTGTTTATTTTTAAAATTTTTTGGTAAATTTACACGATGAATATGTATTTTTCTCGTTTAGACATTTTCGTGTGTAAAAATCCTTTTTGTTAGCGGCTTTACACAATTCTACGGGTGAAATCAAACAGCAGATGTGTATTTTGTAGCTTGTACACACTTACGTAATAAATTTACGCACACCACAGCAGCTATATTACACTCTAAAAAGTCCGAAATTGAAACCAACTATTCGTTGAGTAATGGAGCATGTAATTTTGCAAATAATAAGGTAGGAAATCAGTAACCTACCTTTTAGCTAGGAAATCTACACAATTTTTTTTTAGAGTGAAGACACCGATTGGAATGAGTGGAACGTGAGTTTTCAAATAGTTTTCAGCGAAAACTGGTTTCCGTTTGACAGATTTTACATGGACGAAAACACAAGTTTTAAGTCGAAAACCAGTTTTAGCAACGAAAACATGTTTTCGATGTCGATCAGAACATGGTATAACATTCAAGTCTGCCCGTTTGAAATGGGACTTTCGCACGAGGCCATTTTCAGGCAACTTTTGCGTTCAACTCACGAAGGGTTGCACGCAGCGTTACCGAATTGACGATTTCGTCGTCATTTCGACGTTTTTTTTGCTCAATGGTGATTTGATGAGTTTTCCACCATAATGATGATTTTTTATTTTAGTTTTTCCACTAAATTACATATGTATGTATGTAAAAAAATTTCACAATTAACGTAATCCAAAAGACAACCATGCATTTTTCTAGTTTTGTTCTACCACCGTGCTTTTTGTTATATTAAATTTGTTATAAAATTGTAACCAAATAGTTAATTTGCACTACTGACACTGATTTGAAAAAGGCAGAAAAGTAGGAGAGGGAATTTGTTCTATCAAAATTATCTTTTCAGTTTCCTTTTGTTAGTCTGGTAAACTATGTTTATCAACAGCTGATTCGTAGCTTTTTTCCTAAAAAAAAAAATAAATTGTAACTGAAAATTTAAGGAATTTTACTTACCCATATGCGTAATGCCTTTCGCAGCGGGCGGATTTAAAATTGAATAGATATCGAACAGCTGATTGCAGTTTACCAACTGCCTGAAAAATTATCAAGCTTTCTTGACGATAATTCGTTAACCGGAACACCGATAATAAATAATTTCACAAACAAAAAACATTGGGGAAAATTACCGAACAACGAGTACCAAGCTCGGTGTGAATACCCCTACTTTTAAACTGGATCAAAATCTTCAAAAACTCCAAACCAGTGGAGTCCAACTATTTAAAAGCAGTTGTGTTGTGTTGGCGTTAACAAATGCAAATCCACTGTTATTAACTTATATGCAATGGGGTCCCATTTGGTTTTGTAATGTGTGGTCATATTTATTGGGCCGTATGCATAAAACCTAAGCATATGCTTTTTCTTAAAATTTCAGGCCTATTACTCAATTTGTTCAAATAAATTTAAGGTAAAGGTATGCAATTTTAAGAAAACGCAATTTCTTAGATTTTATGCGTACGACTCATTGTATGAGATTCCTTGGTATCTTTTATTTTGTTTAAAAAAAGATACAATAAACAAAAATTTTACGATTTTTGACCGAAATGATGATTTTTTTAGGGTATAGTGACGATTATCCAAAGAAAGCTTTCGGCAACGCTGGTTGCACGAAAAAAAATTTAATGGCTAAAAATATCAAATGAGGAATAACCTGGTTACTTGTAGATCGTAAGGTCTCCAACCAACGAATCACAAAACTTTTACATTTTAACAATGATATAACATATATAAGATACAAATAATTTGAAGACGGAAGATAATACTATTAAATAAAAATCACATAAGTAATCATAGCAGAAACTTGTGCACGTGGTTTTGGCCCCTAGCGGTATTACAATTGTGTATCAGTGGAGCGACTTGGATACATCAATGCAATATAACATACAAATAGACATATATTAAAATTAGAGGAATAACCTGGCGTTGGTGAAAACCAGTCAACCTAACCAAAGCCCAAAAAAAGGATGCTACATGTTCAATTTTTATCGCGTCAGTATTTGCATAATTTTTGTGCTGCACGCTTATTATACCGCAAGAAAATATATTTATTTTATACGAATAATTTACGACAATGCATTCCACAATTATTTTTTAAATTTCCAATGCTAATTTAAATACTTTCAATTTGCTTTGAAAGGTCTTAGGCGCCGAGAGCTAATATGTTTTTGATGTTCGCATTATGAGAGTACAAGATGTTCTGACGAAATATATGGATCGCGTTTTGAAAACGCTAAACGTTCAATATTTATTGACGGTATTGCAATCCGCGATCCAGATTTCAAAATTTTTAGGGCTCCGTCACACGGTCAGTAATTATCACGATATTTGGATCGCGATCCATATTGATGGATTAATTTATTGCGGACGAATGCTACATGTTCAATATTTATCGCGTCAGTATTTGCATAATTTTTGTGCTGAATGCTTGTTATGACGTAAGAAAATAATTTTATGTTGTACGTATAATTTACAGATAATGCATTCCACAATTATTTTAAAATTTCCAATGTTAATTAAAATTTGTTTTGAAAGATTTTAAGTCCCAAGAGCGAAGGCAGAGCCGATGTTTGCATTATGAGAGTAAAAGATGTACTGACGAAATGTATGGATCGCGTTTTGAAAGTGCTACACGTTCAATATTTATTGACGGTATTGCGATCCGCGATCCAGATTTCAAAATTTTTAGAAATTTTGCAATATGGATCACAATCTATCAATACTGCATGCAACACCGTCAATAAATATCACGATACTTGGATCACGCCAATAAATACTGACCGTGTGCCAGGGCCCATAAGCTTCATTTTGTATTGTTCTTGTCCCGAACCTGTTCCTTATTCCACGCCGTACCTGGTCATACTACTACTACTACTACTCGTCATACTATAAAAACAATTAAGTGTAAGAAGCTTTTAAAGAATTTTGTGGGTGATTTGCAGTATTGTATTAAACTATGTCGGTTTAGTAAAACTGAAAGTACTACATTTCTATAAAGTGATACGATACTTTTTCAGTTATAAAATTTCTAACTCATTGTTCTTTGTTTTGGATTGGACCGGTTTGAAGTTGTTTACATTATGGAATTGTATTTGCTAAAATGTTATCGACAAAATTATTTCTTCAAGACTATTTGATTGCAGTTTATAGTTAATTGTGTAAAAGACTACCTGCATTTATTAAAAAATAAAGGAGTGGACCAATTTTGTATGTATGTCCTACATAGAGTTGCCAACTTGGATTTAGATAACCAGCACGATCATTAAGTTAATTTTACAAACAAAGAGTGGGAAAAGTCGTGCAGAGAGTGGGAAAAGTCGTGATACAGCCGGGACAACTCTAGTTTTTCAAGTAATTTTCTGGATATATGCCAAGTTTGAGATTTGGACTCAATTGAGTGGGTGGAAGGTACCACGCCCCTTGCCCATTTCTACACCTGCCTCAAACTATGCTACAAAATTGTTAACATTTCTATAAGCACTTCTAATAAGCCCCGTTTGTTTTGTATGCAAAAAATTTCGAAGCACGGAAAATTGTGTAAGCAAAATCTTAAAAACAACATAATGATTGGCAATAAAAGGTTAAATAAGGCCACATCTTTAGCTTTTCTTCAAGAAATTGCTATCGACCGTTTTCCCTAATACATAAATGGAGTGAAAATTAATTTTTTAAATTAGAGTAAAATCTTCAATAAAAAAATAATATATATATGATATATTTGCAAAAAAAAATATTAAATTAAAAGAATATTTTCCTACAACTGGTTTATTCAGAAAGCAATGGGAAAAATGTAAAAAATTCTATGAATTAGTCTATGGTTCTGAAAATGGTCACTGGCCAATTCCAATAGTTTTCAGAATCGTGGTAAATGATATCAAATGCGGCTTAACTGAAGTTAGGTATTTTTTGAAAGTGGTTTACCCAGAGTATGTATTAAGTATGAACAAATATATATACTTATGTGTTCTCAATGCCTTCACAAACACAAAAACAGCGGCTGACTGTATTTTTTATTATAGATTTAAGGAATCCTATAAAATCATTATCCGTTGTGAATATATCTTTCAGCTGTTGCTGAAAATGATGGACGAAAAGGATCAGGACATAAAAAGCCCAATGAAGCGAGTGGGATCTACGAGAAAGATCGTAATGTTTAGCAGTAAGTTACATACATACTTATACATTATGATTTTTTAAATTAATTTTGTTCATGTGCTATATGAAAGAAAATCAGCGGTAATTTTTAGCTCCTTGACACTTGCACTTAATTATACTAAAATTGTATGGACCACAAAACTGCTTACTCAAACTAGGAAATATAACTAAACAAATTTAAATTTAATGTCAGTGCAAAGTGGGCAACCGCCGCGATAACACGTCCCGTCGAGTTTGACACACTCTTTACCTCTTTGCGTTCAACTTTCGTAGTCTCCCATGTTTCCTCCCATCCCCATTCTGATTTGTAACTTCACAAGAAACGTCCAAAATTCAGTGACTTTGTACCCCTTCCTGTAGTAAAACAAAACGACGATCATATCCCCGGTTCTTAGTGGCAAGTGCTATCGGTCCAATTGTTGATGAACAAATTCGTCCATTATCATCATATAATAGTTGCGTTCCAGTTGCTTCACGATTTGCAGGTTTTTACAGGAAGCCGTTCCAGGTGACCCCCTCCCATAAGGTTTATTAATGGAGAAAACAGCTCTTCCTGCAAATCCTGTAAAACCTGCAAATCGTGAAGCATCTGGAACGGAACTAATGTATTCCATATCGAAAGAGATTTAAAATGCATTTGCGACGAGAACAACGTTGTAACGGAATCAAGATCCGGTGACCTTCTCCTCAAAATTGAAAATATCAAATCAGCCGAAAAGTTTCTTAAAGCTACCCACATAGGCATTATACCTGTAAAAATTACCTCCCACAAAGGTCTGAACACAACTCAAGGCAGAATATTTTCGAGAAATGGAAACCCACGCGTCCTACGACCCGACCTGTCCCTCGACCCTGAAGCACAAGTTGGTAAATAAAATAAATATAGATCGCCGATGTACAATCGGAGATGCATGGAAAATCTTTAACAGCAAGCCTAATGCACATCAAATACAACCTCCTCAAGAAAATACCATGACTCGCTCCCTTGCACAAATGGTAAAAAAACACCAGCTCAGAAATGACCGAACCAACAACCGTAAGCACAGCACACAACTCGCAAACAATTTCAGCATGCAAAACTCACGAAGAAACCACAAAAAATAAACGATAAGCAAATTACCGTGCAGTTATTAAAACAAGTCAAACTAAATCTATCACACAATCAACATCCATCATACCCAAATCCCAGCAGAAAAACAACACAACAACATAACCAGCAAGACAACAAACAAAAACTAATATCAGCACACCAGAAAACCCGACATGAAGCAGATGTGCAGCAGCTAATTCCAGCCCACACACACCCACATTCCCCAGCCCTACCATCAGTGACACCGAGTTTTCACCTTTCAGCCAATTACAAACAAAATTCTTCGATCTTAACGTTCTCATAACCCCTAATACATATAAAAACACATTACCGACACAAAAGAAATAATCTAGATAATTCAATTCATCTGCCCCACTCCCAAATCTTACGTTGGGCACTTCCACAATCTTCCGCACATCAACTCCAACAAACAAGCAGTCGCCATTCTTATTAAGCGGAATCTGCCCCACCACTCTCTTCCCACCCTAAGCAATATATCCTCACTATCCATAGAACTGCAAACTTCCAGCCTCTCAACCTTTACCCATATCGACCTTACCCTCTCCTTTCCCTCTCTCTCCAACAACTCATCATGGTACCTTATAGATGACATTCACGGCAGCGATCATTTTCCCACCTCATTCCCACATCCCGACCTATTATTCCCTTCTCCCCCAGGATCAAATTTAACAGACAGAGCGGATTGGAACAAATTTGAACATGCATGCGAGTCTTATTCCAAATACTTGCCAACATCTTGCAATATCAACACAGAAACCTCAAGCATCCAAAAAGCAATCCGCTGTGCGACCAACGACTCCATTCCTCTGTCCTCTACTAAACCAGTAAAATCGGTCGCTTTATGGTGGAACAATGATATTGCATCCCAACAAGCTAAGCAAGATGCGTGGCATCATTTCAAACGCAACCGGTCGTCCACAAATTTGCTGCTAGCGCTGCGTTTGCTTAAGTTTATATAATAATTAATTATTATGTAAGCCTTGTATAAATAAATAAATTTAATGTCCTTTTCTTATTTCATTTGTTTTTGTGAACTTTGTGCAGGCTTTGAAACGTTTATTTATGTGGTTTCTGATATAGATCAACCTATATTTTAAATTAAAATTATTAACAATAAATAAATAAACATAAGCTGCCAACAGCATCATACGTATTAACTGTAATTAATAAATTCTTTACTTCGATGCATCAGAAACAATGGGCCGTATTCATACAAACTAACCAAATGCATTTTCTTAAAATTTCAGAGCTTTTACTCGATTTATTCAAATAAATTTTAGCAAAAGGAATGAGATTTTAAGAAAAAGCAATTGTTTATTTTTTATTCATACGGCCCAACATTATCATGGCCCATCTCAAATTTTCAAAAATATATATGTGTATATAGGTAAATGTATAATATTTTTTACAAACGTTATAGACGGCATACACCGTGCGTCTGAGTCGTGAGTCGGTTTGGATGTGTTTGTGAAAATAAATATGTGTTAGTTACACCAACATGACTCCCGACATGACTCTGAATGATTCAGCTGTGTGTTGTCGAAGGTGAGTCAACACATACACAAACGACTCGCTAGTCAGACGCACCGTGTATGCCGCCTATTAAATCCATGGTTCAATTATTAAAGGCTTTGTAAGTAGCTTTTTTCTAAAATTTTACACTCACACCCACAGGGATGGTTTGTGGAAGCAGGAGAAAAAGGGGAAGAATTCCATCACGCTTCCTAAAATGGGAGCTAAATTCCATAAAACGGTGTGGATAATAGTGAATGGTGGTATTTTAAAACAAAAACGAATTTGATTTAAATATTTAATTTAAACAAGCTTATTTACGTCGAATATAACCCCTGATTGTTATTAAAAATAAATATTTCTGTGTATGTGCAGTATCGGTCATATCTATAGCACGCCATTTCAAAGTGATATTGTGTGGCACTTATGTTTATTTATTTNATATACAGTATCGGTCATATCTATAGCACGCCATTTCAAAGTGATATTGTGTGGCACTTATGTTTATTTATTTATTTTTAAGAATTTTCAATTAAAATATAGTTCATTTTCAGGCAACCCCCTCACATAAACCCAAGTTTAATAATTTGTAGAAAACTACAAAAAGTGTAACAAATTTTCACCTAAATTTCAAACTTTTTTCTCGGAAGTGTTAGAATTTTTTTGAGTACACAGTTTTTTAGCCCCTTCAATTTTAGCCTGATAATGTGCAATTTTCAAGTAGCTACGAATTACCGTTAATTTTTGAGAATTTTTTTTTGTCGCATTGGCTTCCATATATTGAATAAACTCAATTTATTTGTATATGGAAGAAATCCGCAACACCTTTGGCGAAGAAATTCTGAAAAATCAACGGTAACTTTTAGCCACTTGAAACTTGCACGTTATCAGACTAAAATTGAAGGAGCTAAAAAAACTGTACTCAAAAAAATTCTAACACTTCCGAGAAAAAAGTTTGAAATTTAGGTGAAAATTTGTTGCACTTTTTTGTAGTTTACTACAAATTATTAAACTTTGATTTATATGGGGTTTGTCTGAGAATGAAGTATATTTTAATTGAAAATTCTTAAAAATAAATAAATAAACATAAGTGGCACACAATATCACTTTGAAATGGCGTGCTATAGATATGACCGATACTGGACATACCAAACTTGCGCACGTCAGACGGTACATTTTTTTGTTGTATTTGTTTGCCAGATGATGGATATGAAGAAGTTATTTGTTTGTGGAAAACTTATGCAATATGTACGTGTTTATTAAAAAAAAAAAGACAAATAAAAAAACTTTGAGCTTACGTTTCTTTCGCGGTTATGACTAGATTGCTTGGAATCTGGTAATTCGAATTCTTTGATGTCGCACTTTTAATGTTCTGGGGAGATTATGCCACCGTAAGAATATTAAACATTGGCTTACACAGCCGCAATTGGCGATTCGTGCCGGACGAACTCAGGAAGAATAAAGAGAACACGCAGCTACTGAACGACTGAGACAGGAAACGTGATCTACATCGCAAAATGAGAAGTGCCGTAAGTGTGCTATTACATCGCGCCATTGACTAAACCGAGCTGTCGTGTGACGATTGCGCCCATGGATGGAGGTCCCCACGAATATCGACAAATACATTTCGGCATTTAAGGGAATTTCGTCTCTTTAGCCTACATTGAATTTCTGTAGTCCAACGATTCTCACCCATTTTGTCTTGTTGTCGCCAGCGAACGAAGAACAAACATTTCTCAAATTTAAAAAGTAAAAATTTTACTTTTAAAAATTTAAAAATGTTCTTAAAACTTTCAAAGAAATTTGGAAAATAAATAACACTGTTTTTGTTTTTAGGAGTAGGGTGGAAGTGTAATTGATAAAAGTTGCGACCCGTACGAGTCCGGACTAGTCAGAAATAGTCAGAATCAGTCAGATTTTACTGGAAATCGATCCCGTGCTCGGTTCGCTGACTATTGAGAGGACAAAAAAGAGAGTAAATACGGTTCTCTCTGTCAGAAGTTACCAGTTTTAGTCCGAGAATTTTTTGCTAATTCTAATGAATTTGAAAGTATTTTTGGTTATTTACATGTGTGAGCTGAGTGTGTTTACATACAAAATAAGCAAAAATGTATAACCAAAATTTGGAGGTTATGTTGAAGTTGACAGAAGTTACCATTTTTTACTAGAAAACGATCCCGTACTTTTCAATGTAACTCTCTCGCTCTGAGCGAATTTTTATTTTTTGAGAGTTTTACTAGTCCGACTCCGAAGAATACGGGATTGCACCTTTTATTAGAGAGAAAGTTTTTTTTTTTTAACCTTTCATTATTGAATCATGCGTTAAATCTATGTTTGTTTTTGTATTATAAATGTCAAATTTTCTCGATCCTTCTGAAAAATTTAATGATATTTAATAAAAAATTCTCAATAATTTTATTTTATTCTTTTAGGTATCCGACAACAGTTAAATGAACAACTTAGATGTTTAGATATTAGAGTGGAGTCCCAAATTGGATTAATTCAAGAAATACAGGATTTCTTTCGACGTCGGGGCGAACTGGAGCTCGACTACAGTAAAAGTCTAGAAAAATTTGCTCGAGGTTTACTTTTAAAGCAGAAACAGAAGTAATTTTTAAGATTTTTTATTACAGTTTTTTGCAATACAAGAAGAATAATTGATTTAAATATGAAGTACCAATGATATATATTTATTTACGCATTGTTGTACATATCGCACGTTTAATAATACACACAATTAATTCAAAATTTCAATTTTGTGAGAAAACGAAATCAAAGTTTGATCAATTCATACAGTTGGTATACAAAAAGACAGGAATAGGCACATATCTTCGCCATTATTTTTTTTTTTAAAGTGAAGTTGGTGTTATTGTTGTAGCGGCTACAACAACCCCTCCCAGATCGGTTAATATCTCGGTCGTTGTCGTCAAGCTCCACTAACGGAAGCCCCAAGAAGCGTGCAGCCTTAATGGGGTCGGTCCACAGGGACAAATGCGATAGCTTTGTCGGGTTTTCCGGCATATGAAGAGATGCTTCGAGTCGTGGGGAGTCTCTCAGCATGCCGGACTCTCATTTGGCATATCTGCGTCTAATCTGCTCAGGTATGAGTTCAACCTGCTGCAGTAGCCAGGGCGAAGTTGGGCTATTGCGGTTCTAGTCTCCCGAGGCAGATGAAGCTCCGTCTCGTCGATGTCCGGTGGTTGTGCGCCTAGAACGGCATTCACAGGTCTGGAGTCTACATAACTCGAGACTGACTCCATCTGAATCGAGCTTATTAAATGTATGGTCAAGCCTCCAAAACGTGAATTTTGAATTAAATCTCTATATTATTAAACGTGCGATATGATATGTACATATGTAATAGTCAAATCATAAAAGGACTTTACAGCGTCTCTTTACAATTTAGTGGTAGTTTAAGTGGTTTAAGGTTTGAACTTTTTGGCCAAAACTCGTATTTTACCAACATAACACTATCCGAATTATAAATAAAGACCAATGTGCACTCAGGTTTAATAGGAGGTTTTTTATCTTTTGGAACCCCTATTGAAGTTTCCTGCTCAGCATTTTTTAGAACATTTTTAGAAGTGTGCATTAGGGCGGGTCGAAAATCTAATTTTTCTCAAATCCCTTGGTAATAGTGAAAATATATTGTATCATGAAGTCAACAACAAGCCTGCGAAATATTAGTCTTTCATTTTAATTGTAAGAGCCCGCGCATCGACCGCCAAGTGACCCACAGCACACTAGTCGAATAAGACCAATTCTTGTTAAAAATTCTGGGTTTAGCCAAAAATTTTGGTGCATGTTATTAGATAATGAATCCTTTAACGCAAAAGATAAAGTCAAGTATCATTTCGCGCAGCCCTTTATCTTATCGTTAATCTCAAACTCATCTATTTTCAAGAAAATTTTAATTGTTCTCTTAATAATTGCATTGGCCTATAGTCAAAAGATGTAAAGAACAACATTAATATTGCTGGCGTGCATTTAGAACGCTAGTTCCAAATATTCTAATCCTTTTTTAATATTAACTATAGTTTGCGATTTTTTGCAAATTTAGGAACAATTTCGGTAGCTCTAATAGAATAGCCATTATTTTCCATAATCGCGGAATAATTTTGTTTATGCAAATTAGTATGGAAACACTGAACCGGCACAACTTCTAGACACACTAATTGGTTTACTTATGTTTATGCATACAATATAAAAATTGCAAATATAAGAAAATGATAAAAAATTTTGTTCAAGATTTTTTTTATTTTAAATAATTTGTTTATAATCTGAACTATTTTAGTCATATTATTATCAAAAATCAGTAACATTAAGTCTCGCCTTCAATTTGTTAATTATTACGCACCGATCGAGTAACATTTACCAAAGTTATATCGAAAAGCTTTAGTGGATTTCCAGTTTTTTTCTAAACAAATTTCTCTTCAATTGTATAAATAACCTTTAAATAAAAGAACCGGATTACAGAAAACTGTGCCAGCGAGTGACTTTTTTCGTTCAAGCTGAATGCAAAGCAATATCGTCCAACTGGAGAGTCCTCAAAAGGATTTCCCAGGATATGTTGAAAACTATTCCATTTACCTACAGACACTTTTTCACATAATGGAATTAACTAAAATATTTATGTATATCTAAACACTTATTGCACGTCCCCTACTTTCATATAACGGCAAATTTAGAAACCGCGAAAAATGTGCTTCTGCGGCGACTAATGAAACCATTCCGCACCAGTTTTCAAGACTGCAAAAATGGACTTAAAATGGGCGTTTCTCACCCTAATTGTAATGTATGTAAATACTTATATGTTTGAAACTACTATTAACTTGTCGAACGATTCCTAATCTTTGACAATACATTCATTCACCACGATCTTGAAAACTGACCAAATCGGCGTGACCAAGTCCATGGTCATTTTAATATTATATAAACATTAAAAGGTTTGAAATAAATCTCGTCTCACTTTTTTGTATTTTTCACTTGGTTGCTGAAGTAATGAAGAATTGAAAATTCATAAGGGAAAATCATAGTTTTCTTATTTTTTATTTTAATATCTTAAAATCGTGTAGACTTATTGAAAAATGATAAATGAACGTGAAGTTCTAAATTTAATAGCCCTTAATTTGATATATCGTCCTGTTTATAACAATAACGCATTCCATAGATATTACAAGCCAAAGTTTCCTTTTCGAAATTCATACACTTTGATTCAAGTGCGCGGGCTAAAGATAAGTTTTAAATTAATCTTTCGTAGCCAATAACAATTGGTTGAGACCTAAGACACCATAATATTACTATTACAATGCGGTCAAATGACTTTTATTTTCCCCCATACAAAATCGACCCAGCCTAGTGTGCATTTCTCTTTAAATTTCACCTTAGGTCTCTGAAGACAAGAAATATGTTTCAGGTCGATTGGGGTGTTCACAACGGTGTCGTATTATTGTATGTCGTAAACTTTAAGCACCTAAAATTATATTAAAAGGGATTCGCAAAGTACTATCAAAAACACATTATGAATTTCCGCAGTGCTAAAAAATAGTTGGCTGTGATTTAAAGTTCTTTAAACATTTATTTAAGCTTTTAAAGTTTACGACATACAACAATACGACACTTACGACACCGCTGTGAATCTCTTAAATATAAACATAAATTTACATGTAATATAATACAATTTGTGACCAAAAAGTGTAAATTTTAAAGCACTGTAATAGGGCAATTTTTTGTTGAAACCATTAAACAAAACCTTAAAATTGTTTGAATTGTAGAAGAGATCACTGGCCAATATTTTCAACTTTTGCTTGCTGGCAACATTTATTAAAAGAAACTCAATCTTTGTCAAAAGATCATGCCATATTAGCAGATTTGTATTCGACAAGTATTGTTGCTAGCTTACAGACAACCATTGAAGATGTTCAGCGGATATATAAAAAGGTAAGAGGATAGCATAAGCCATTACATAAGTGCTAATTCATAATCATGAGCAATTTTCATTCACAGTGCAAATTGATAGGATATGAGATTCACGAGGATATACAACGTCTCTTACAAGAACTGCATATGACAATGAAAACGTATCAAAGATATGAGGTCAGTCACACACCTGGGGTATTCACAGCCGTGTCGTAAGTGTGGTATTGTTGTGTGTCGTAAACTTTAAACGCCTAAAAAATATATTGAGGGGGTTCGCAAAGTACCATCAATGTCATATTGTGAATTTTCGCAGTGTTTAAAAATAGTTGGTTGTGGTTTCAAGTTCTCTAAACATTATTTAAGCTTTTAAAGTGTACGACATACCATGATACGACACTTACACCGTTGTGAATCCCGCAACCGAATATAAGTAAGCGCTTGAACGAAAATAAATGAAAATAATGGTCTTTATTTCTTATAGAGTGAATGTGTTACAGCAAAGTTAAAGTTAGTTACAGCAGAAGCACAAAGGAAGAAACTAGAACAAACAATTGCAAAAGAAAAGTTAGAGCGCAACAAGAAATATAAACTTACAGAGAGAGAAATTGTCAAAGTAAATGAATTAGGAATAATTTTGTATTAAAGCAATTGACATTCTTGTAATTTCAGAGAGATACAAAATATAAAGATGCAAGACTGAAAGCCCTAAAAGCAAAAACTGAATACCAATTATGTTTAGAGGCGTCAAATACTACTATACATAAATATTTTGTGGAAGACCTGTGTGATCTGATAGATGTAAGCAGAAACGTTAGATTTATTTATTATTATAATGTCTTACTTTCCACTTCGTTAGTGTATGGATCTCGGTTTCGGATCAATGATTTCAAAAGCTATTCTTATGCATGTGTCGGCAGATCAGGGTCGATCAAGATCAATCCTTCAGCAAGCCGATAACCTCTCTCACCTAATTCATTCTATAGATTGTCGTGCAGATAAGCAAAAATTTTTAGAACATCATCATGCTGCGTTTATGATTCCCAAGCGCTTAGAACTGCAGTGCCAATATGACCAGCCTGATAGTATTGAAATGGAAATAAAGAAGGAATTACATTTGGATATGGAGCAACGATTGGAAACATTGGGTCAAAGATTACGAGATCTCCGCATAGAGTGCGATGAAGTTTGGAAGTCCCTTGAGACAGCAGAAACCAAACTTCTTGAACACTACAATAACAAAGATAATGACACGAGCGATATTTTCACCGAAGCTAAACAGTATATATGTAAACCACCTATAACGCCTAAATTAAAAGCGGAGAAACAGGACATTGAAGATTATTACATAACGGTGAGTTTAGATAATGGCGAAAAATATGTACATCTGACTGTGAAAACAGTTTAACTTTAATTAGTTAGATACAGTTCAAAAATTGAGATACAATTTTTATTCAATAGAAAATTCGAGAATACATAAGCGGAACGTCCCGAATAGCTCGCTTAAGTGCAAAGGCTGAATTTTTACGAAATGTTTTAGCCAAGGATAACAAGGATATACCTTCTCACACAAAAGGAATTATATCAGCTCGCAAACGAATCGGACGCGTAAATATTTCTGGGCAACCTAAATTATTTGGCGGTTCCTTGGAGGAATATTTGGAATTCACTGGAGAAGAAGTGCCCCTCGTAATGCGGAGCTGTATTCGTGTTATTAATCTATACGGTACCATTTTCCACATATCTAGTAGACTGGCTTATTTAATTCCAATCGCTATATCGTTTTAGGATTACATCACCAGGGAATCTTCAGAGTTTCGGGCTCCCAGGTGGAAATTTCAAACTTCCGTGAAGCTTTTGAAAGAGGCGAAGATCCACTTGCCGATACGAATGATGCATCTGACATTAATTCAGTTGCAGGAGTTTTAAAGTTATACTTAAGAGAATTGAGGGAGCCATTGTTTCCTATAGTGTATTTTGAACATTTTGTGTCTATAGCAGGTTTGTTGTGTGCTATTCATTTTATTTGGTTTCTTAGTACCAATTTGAAACGTACTAAAAGTAAGTTCATTAGGAATCAACACAAAGGAGGATATAATAGCAGCTATAAGGAATTTTCTAAGCAACCTTTCTCCAACAGTTTTAGTTGTTATTCGCTATCTGTTCGCATTTTTAAATCAGTAAGTATAAGTATATAAGAGTATGTATTTTGTTTTATATAACGAATTTTAAAATTTTTTTAGCTTGTCAGAATACGCTGATGAAAATATGATGGATGCTTTTAATTTGGCGATCTGTTTTGGTCCGACACTCATGCCTGCGCCAGAGGATAGGGACCAAGTGCAGTACCAAAATCAGATAAATGAGCTTGTTAAGTGTATGATACTTTACCACGATGATATTTTTCCACCAGATTTAGTGGGTTTGGAGTATGAAAAATATATATCCCACGAACCTTTCATGGATATGTAAGATATACTTACCTAAATATACATGTTTTTCATATTTTTAAATATTTAGTTTTGTCGGTGAATCACCAGTTGATAATGTGACCGAAGACCCAGACTCAGAAATTTGTCCTTCCGAAGATGGTAAGAATCCAAGTAATTAATGTAATTGATGGGTTTTTAGAAACAAATTCCGCATGTGAGGGGAAGGGAACTACATATATTACAAGTATGATAATATGTCAAACAAAACACCAACATTTAGTCTGTCCCTTTGAACTTCGGACATAAACCTCTGGAACTCTCTTTACAGTCAATTACCGTTAGTTAAAGATGTTCATGACATTGCAATTTGTTCAACAGAACTAACGGTTCATTTTTATATCAGTGTGACTCAACTAAACGATCAAATAATAGTCTGTTAAGTTCGTGTGCAGTTTTAAGGTTGTTGTTTTTTTTTTTTTTTGAGAGAATTGTTTTCAACAGAGATAATAAGATAATAAGGAGTGCGCATGAAAAAATTGTAACATTGTTTTTCACTTCCTACTTTCGTATTAAGTGTCCGCTAAAAAAAACAGCATCATCATCGTCTTTGGTTTTAATGTCAGATGAAGCCGAAATATTTTTTTTTTCATTTCCATAGAGTTGTTTGCTAAAAATGGAGACTCAAGCTAAGATTCGAAAAATCATTGTGAAAGTTTTTCAACAAAATCCGAAATGGAGTTACATAAAAATTTCCAAAACCGTTAAAGTCTCTCGTCAAACTGTGAGCCGGGTTTTAAAAAACTTTAAAGAGAATCTAAGTGTCAATAGAGAGGTGGGTTCTGGTAGAAAATATGGATCAGGGGACCTACACAGAGCTAAATGTATCAAGGACCGTTTTGGAAAAAATCCAAATATTTCGGGTAGAAAAATCGCTCAAAAATGCGGTTGCTCTGAATCATTTGTCCGGAAAGTGAAAGGGGACGCTGGCCATAAACCGTACAAAGTTCAGAAAGTCGCAGATCGGAAAGCTGCGAAGAACGTCGACGCAATTAATAGAATAAAAAAGTTGTAGGCAAACTTTGTAAAAAAGACTTATGTATTGGCGGACTTTTCGCAGCTCCAGGCAACGACTTTTACGTAGCGGATCAGCGGGGAAATGTTCCAGAAGACTACAGAACCCCAAAAAACCAAGTTCCCCAAGAAATGGCTCGTGTGGCAGGCCATATGCAGCTACGGTAAAAGAAGCCAGCCATACGTAACTTCTGGGTCAATCAACACGGATATTTATATAGGTAAATGCTTGCAAGAGGTTAAACCATTTGTATTGCAGCACAAGGTATCCAACTTCTTTTGGCCTGATCTGGCATCATGCCACTATTCAAAAAGAGCCAAGGAGTGGTACACCAACAATAAAATAAATATTGTAACTAGAGAGGCTAATCCGCCAAAATGCCCAGAGCTAAGACCAGTGGAACGCTATTGGGCTCTAATTAAGCGAAAACTGAAGGCGACGAAAGGTGTATCGAATGACATAAGGGAATTCAAAATTAAGTGGACTGCAGCGTCTAAAACCATTCCTGAAAGCACCATACAGGCCTTGATGGAGGGAATTCCTGAAAAAGTTCAAAATTTCCTTATAAACAAAAAACTTTAATTTTTTCTTTTTTGTGAAAGAAACTATATGAAAAGAAGTACAATAAAAAAACAAATTGGCATAATTTGAATTCACATCTTACTTAATATTTTGATTTTTCTATGTTACAGTTTTTTCATGCGCACTCCTTATAACCAAAATTAAAGAAGGTTCAAATATTTGTACTGAACATTTTGTAAGTCAGAAAGTGTTCTGCATTCTTATGTAAATGTAATCTCGTGTCATTTCCACCAAAAAGTACAAATTTCAAATACTTCAAGAAAAAGTACACTCTACAAATTTTTTTGTTTAAATTGGCGCATATTAAGACAAAAAACCAGTTTCCTCTCTTAAAGAATGCAAATTTACATACCGTGTTAATTAAATTAAACACTGCTTGTTTATTTTTGCTTACCATATGTGTGGCGTAGAACAAATTTCAAATTTGTTTGTTAAATTCTAAACACTTATGGCCTTATTCATAAAAAATAAAGTAGCTTTATAAAAGGTTTATAAATTGAAAAATGTATGAAAACGTCAATTTATAAAGCTCTTTAAACCTACTTTATTTTTTATGAATAAGGCCATTAATGTTCACTATTTCACAGTTACTACATAATATGTTTAAAATTTGCTAAATTTTTTTTTAATTTACGCATATAAAGGGGATATTTTTACTTTCAAAATTTTTGCAATTTTAAACACGTCATGCGTATATCTATGTGTATATTTTAAAGAAAAAATGTTTAAAATCAAGTCTTAAACATCTTATGCGTATATTTACACAAATTCTGGTTGAAAAATAGACACTTTTCAGTAGTAGTTTTACATGCACTTTTTAGAGTGTATATCAGTTAAGGCTGCTTCGAAATATAATTGTAAATACTTTTCTTTTTCTCTAACGCGCGGCATTTTTAAAAAATTTTACATTTGCAATCCGGAGCTACGATAGGTCGTTTATACAACTTTGTTCGCAACATTGCCCTTTCGCTAAAAATGCCACTTTGCAACGTTTTATGAATCGGACTATTGCCACATTTATCAACCGACTTCACAAAAAGGAGGAGGTTATCAGTTCGTCGGGATGTTTTTTTTTGTATGTACGTTACCGCATAACTTCGGACCACGTTACCGATACCCATACTAATTTTGTTTAGATCCGATAATTGGATCGTGAAGAAATTAACGACAATCTTAAATTTGTATATGAGAATTGAATTCGGTTTTATTTTTTGCTTAAAAATTACTTGTAATATAGTTCTCCTCACTACTATTATTTTGACGGTAGTTTTATATGGTTCAAACGAGAGATGGCCGCCGGACTAGATATTCTATCCTAAACCCTCGCATCCCGACATTAAATATTAGTTAACATGCGTACGCAAAAAAGCAATCACTCAGGTTAATCGAATACATACAATCTCATTTCAAGCGACTCTACTTAAGCCGCTACCCCGTGCAAATATAGCTTTAAAGTCCCTTTTTAATAGAACATTTACAATGCCTTACTACAATGCAATAATGTGACTGTTGTGTAATTTACCCATTTAGAATCGGAAACTCTGGAGGCAACGGTGCAGTTCGATTTTAAAGCAAGGTCTCTCCGTGAATTGTCCATTCGCAAAGGAGATATTGTGATTTTGAGAAAACAAGTGAGTGGGTCATCCATGTGGAGTAAGAAATAAATAAACATTATCTTTTTCAGGTATCTAATGATTGGTGGCATGGGACGTTAAATGGAAGGGAGGGTTTAATACCCGACAAATATATATCGCTCAGAATTAAGTACGTATTTAAAAATTTAGATGCTCGCTCATACTCATGCTTAACTACTCATATTAGAGGGGAGGAGAGAGACAAAGTCTGCATGGATCAATACACTCATAGGGATATTAACACTGAAAATGAATCGACTGTCGAAAGCCGAATAGATAACGCGAAGGATGATTGTCATATATGCATTGAGTCTGAAATTGAGTTGATTCCGAATAATTTAAGAAACGAAACATTTTACGAAGATAATTCTCAAAATTCCTACGAAAAACTTGAGGAAGAAGAGATGGCACACAACTATGAAAAGTTAGAGGTACTTGAAACGACGGTGTAAACTTTTTATGATTGAATTTATTTTATTTGTTGAAAACAGAAAACGCTGTAGCTATCTAATGATAAGGGTCAAAATACTTTTTATTAATATATATTTTTGCCAGTTGTAATTTAGTGTTTAATTGAAAAGAACAAAATATTTAAACTTATTCCCGTTTAGCGGGTTATTTTGTTTAATGATTATATTTTTTAATTCAGTTTTCAACAACAAAATACATTAAAGAATACTAATCATACAATCAGATAATTTAATTTAAAGTAACTATAACGAAATATTCCGTCAGAAATGCCCGTAACGAAACTCATTTCATTGACCGGTTAGTTTCAAAAGTTTAATATTTGAAATTGTAAATAATATTTCTATTGGCAAACACATTTATATCGTCACCATCTATATAAAGGACCCTATGACACTTTCTGAAATGTTGTTTTTTAAATACTTTGTTAGTTGCCTTTTTGATACATCCGTATCTTAAAAAATATGAGAATTGTGTAAGCTCTTTAATAAAATTTCAAATTTTATCAAATAGAGATTTTTGCCACGATGGTTACTATATGATATATCTCTAATTTACTTAAACGCTGAAAAACGATTATTGAATCATGCCCATGGTACAATAAACACAGGTAGAAGCCAAATTGACATCAAACCTACAAAAGTCAAAGTTTTCGGGAGAGTAAAAATAAAAATGAGCGTGTGTAAGGAAAAATAAAAAATTACATTTCGCTGGTTGACGTTTTTGAGTAAATTTGAAGTTTTGTTTTTATTTTTTTTCTTTAGTTAAAATTTGTTAATTTGTATGTTGTTTTCTGTTTTTAATTTATGAGTAGGAGGGACTTTCCGGCATAAGGGTCATAGGAACAGCACTTGGTATCAAAAGTGCCTTTCCTGTACCTCCCGGTGCATTTATGAAATCTGCTGCTTTAAAATGTTTAACGCACAGCAAGGCATTTCGCTGCAGTTCTGCCCCAAAGCTGTTTTCGCAACACTCTTTACGCGAAGGACATTGAGGCACGTTAAAAACAATTAGTGGTATCTGCTTCATATTTAAAACCACATAAAAAACAACGCTTCAGGTGTTGCATTTTTAACACATACACTAAGTATAAACCGCACAACACTACTCAAATTCACATGTTAATTAAAATTTGTCATTAACGAACATTAAAAAAAAACAACGATATGACATTCAAAGCGTAACGAAATATAGGAAATAAAAGAAAAACAAGCTGAAGTTTAAAGGTTTGGTTCTCATGAGAGCAACGTCATTTTGGCTTCTACCTGTATTAATGTGCCTTGGGTAGAAGCCAATTTGACATCAAACCTACAAAAGTCAAAGTTTTCGGGAGAGTAAAAATAAAAATGAGCGTGTGTCAGGAAAAATAAAAAATTACTTTTCACTGGTTGCCGTTTTTAAGTAAATTTGAAGTTTTTTTTTATTTATTTATTTTCTTTAGTTAAAATTTGTTAATTTGTATGTTGTTTTTTGTTTTCGATTTATGAGTTTCAGTGTTTTTGGGGGGATTTTCCGGCATAAGGGTCATAGGAACAGCAGTTGGCATCGCACGTGCCTTTCCCGTACCTCTCGGTGCATTTGTGAAATCTGCTGCTTTAAAATGTTTAACCCTCAGTAAGGCATTTCACTGCAGCTCTGCCCCACAGCCGCTTTCCCAACGCCCCTTACGCGAAGGACATTGAGGCACGTTAAAAAAATAGTGGTATCTGCTTTATATTTAACACCACATAAAAAACAACGCTTCAGGTGTTGCATTTTTAACACATACACTAAGCATAAACCGCACAACACTACGAAAATTCAAATGTTAATTAAAATGTGTTATTAACGAACATTCAAAAAAACAACGACATGACATTTAAAGCGTAACGAAATATAGGAAACAGGGACGTGAACCGGTTTTTTTTCTATTAATTAACTGAACCATTAACCGAACCGAAATTTTCCACAAATGTTTGATCCGAACCGAAAACCGAACCACTTTCTATGTATAAAGGTTTAAAGGTTCGTTCCAACAATTTTCAATAGATAAATGTACCCCCTTTTTTCTTTTTGTTAAACATGGTAATACCTACCATGTTTGTTTACCATGTGACAATATCAAATGTAAAGGCAACCCATCTCATTTGACAGACACTCGACCCTTAACCTTGCGCGTTGTTGCACTTGACACTTGACACTTAAACTTTTTCGAACCGTTGAACCGAACCGAAACCCCGGTTCAAAGACCAAAAAACCGCTTTGACGAACCAATCCAAAAGTGCAAAAACGGTTCGAACCACTGAACCGAACCGACCAAATTTTTCATCCGGTTCACGTCCCTAATAGGAAATAAACGAAAAACAAGTTGAAGTTTAAAGGTTTGGTTCTCATGAGAGCAACGTCAAAATGGCTTCTACCTGTATTTTTGTGCCTTGGGTGTACCCATGGTACAATAATTACAGGTATTGTCTTCCCAGGGAGTTTTGCTTCACATCGAAATTCGTGCTCCCTTGTTTCCATTTTGACGCAGTTCAATGTTAATTATTTTACTTTTATTTGGCTTTGCTTTTTGTATTCGCTCGTATTTAATTTTTATAATAAATATTTTAAATAGTTGTATACAATTGCATATATCCATATATGTATATATCCATAAAATTTAAATAGGACCACTGTGGAGCTGTTCTTAACCCAAGGCCAAATAATCATTTAAATCAGTTCACAAAACCATCATAAAATAAACAAATACACATGTCGAACTGAGAACCTCCTCCTTTTTTCGAGTTCGGTTGAAAATGGCGTAGTTATTTGCACATAAACTCAAAAAAATCTTAACTTTATACCCTTTTGACTTAGGGCCGTTTTCTGAAGTAACCTTTAACTTTAATGCTCACTTTATATTTAAAGGTTGGGTTAAAAATAAAGCTATGTCTAAAGTTAAGCGTTTTTACCTCCCTTTTATTAGCTCGGGATGTAACTATGTATGTAATATTGATACGCCTAAAAGATGCAGCGATTTATATTCTCAAGTTACATACCTGATGACAGTACGAATAGAAATTATAATAGCGAGGTTTTAGTTTTTTAAACTATAATTTTTTATTAATATTGGTTTTTGACGTATTTCTTTGTTGTAAAACAATAAAAAATCGATTTACTTTACTTTAGACACAATCATACATTTTAATGCAACCTTTAAATGTAAAGTGAGCTTTAAAGTTACAGGTTACTTGAGAAAACGGCCCTTAATCTTCGATTTAATATTGTTTTCCATATAACAATAATTTTGAATCTGAGCGGTATGAAATAACACGTCCAAATTAGCTGAATAAATGAAGATATCAAGCGTTTAACTTTGATATATTCCGTTTAAGTAAAAAACCGCGTATCGTGGTTCTGCAAAACCACGTAACTGACTTTTGTGCCAAAAAAGTTATTAGTCACCGGAAGCTCCTGCTATCAAGTCCTTCTCCATTCATACAAAAATATCAATACTTAGGTATAAGAAGAAGAGATAATTGGGAATAAAAGAGAGAACCGCTTTGAAATATGACAAGTTTTACTCTCTCCTATAAATTAAGGCAACCTTACATACGAGGTTTTGCATCTTCTTGATACGCGGTTTTGTACTTTAAACAACGATATTTATGGATATATATACTATGGCATTAACCAAAACTGATGAAAATGATTCAAGTCTTTGTATTGTATTTTATTTTAGTACTTTTATCACTCGAAAATAATCGCTTTTTGTGCTAAGTGGAGTTTCAAGTTAAGTGACTTTTTTAAATTAGTTACGCAAAATTATTTCAGTCTTACGCAGAGAACCATTGACTTTGATTTTCCTAAGCGTGATCCCCCTTAACTAATGTTGGCCCCATAATGATGATTAGATCAAAAAGTCGTAATTCCTTATATCTTATCAAATCATGAAAGGTATTTAGACTTTGGCACAGCCGAAGAGAACTACGCTTTTTTGTTACTACGATATTGGAAATGTTTTAGTTAAATTGAATGAAATGCACTTTTGATGTTTGTAGAATTCGCCGTCCCAGGAATCAAAGCATCACTGTCTTCCTGAATCCAAATCCACAATGCATATCAAAAGCAGTCACAACACCACCGAGACCACCGATATAAAAGATAATTCAGTTCCTTGTGCGCTTCACTGTGCAAATGCTAACGACGACAATTCTCAACCTTCAGCAGAATTGGACCATTCAAACAAAGTTGATACTGCTGAAGAGGAACTAAAAAGCTTGAGTGAATTTCAAAAAAATAAATTTCTATGGGAAGTAAGATCTCGGCGGGGCACATCCAAGGAAGCCTTTTATAACTTGCCATATGAAAAGAAGCACATTGCACCGGATCTAGTTATGGATTTACCAGTGTCAAAAAATAAAATTTTTGAATATGTTTCCCAAAATGCGGATCCTGAGGTAACTTCTTTACATTATAATAAAAATGCACTTTCTAAATTCATTAACATTATGTCTGCCTATTTACTTGTTATTTATGCATAAACATATGAAATTTTTTTGCCAATATTTATGTCGTAAAATAACCTGAATTTTAATCTTTTAGGATACTGATGATACAGCGTTAGTGAAGGGAAATATGACAACCTTTAAAAGGCCCGAACATACGACATCTTCAAAGAAGAAGAATTGCAATGAGGATTGCAAAGCAGCTTGTGTCCCGTCACCTGCACCAGTTAAGGAAGATTTATATGCCAATGTTAGTGCTTCCTCGGCGTCGGCGGGTGGATTTGTTTTAGATTGCGAACAGAACGATTTAAAAAAGCTAGAAACGAACACAAACAATATAGAGTAAATAGTACTGCTAATGTAATCTTCAAGTACCCTAATCTATTTTTTTTAATTTCTTTGTAATTCATAGCAATTAACCATAATATATGTATGTATAAAAAAATATATAAAACGACAATGAAAACTTCACTTTTAATTTAGTTCAACTTTTAGGTTGATTGCAGGTTTATTCGCATATTTTATTATAGGTTTTGCTGTTCGCGTACATAGGTTAATAGAACTCCAAATGTATTGAAAGAAAGCCAAATGCTAATTTACTTATGTTTGCTTAGCGAATTGCTTTTGCCAAACATTTAATTTATATTCTTTTCATGTTTTCTGATTTATGCTTTTGTATGTTAACTTTATTTCGATCAGCTGTACTAAAAACTTGCAAGTTTAGCGTTCGCGTACTTTAGCAAACATTTCTCTCTTTGAGAGAGAACAGATAGAAATGCATTCGAATTTTGCTGTTGGGAGTTTTTTGCTGGAATACACCTTATAACTAATTAAAGTTAAACTGTTTTCACAATCAGATGTACACAGTTGCCGTTGTATAAGAAATAGTGGCATCTTATTTCCGAAAATTTTCGTGTTTTTCGTTTTCCTTGATGATACATTCTCACAGGTAGAGTATGTTTTTCCCAGCATTGACGTCTCGATTCCAACAGGTACCGCATTTTGGGCAAACAGTAGAGCAACTTCTTATCTTTCTTTATCAAAATTTTCACAGCAAAAAAAATGTTTTTGGCAATATACATATGTACATATAATGCAACAGCATTTGATATTTTGCAAAGGTTTATGTTTTTTTGGAATTAATTTTTTTCTTGTTGGCAACGAAATTCGAATCACCGAAGTTATAGGTATTCACTTTTTTCGAAATTGTTGGGATATTATTAATTTTCCCGCGATTGGCAATACGAATTCTGCTCATATTTTAAACAGTTAAAAATTACGATGTTTTCATTTTTTTTAAGTTATTAGCTATTTTTTAAATATTGTTGAATTCTCAAAAGTGAGAAACTAAAAACGAATAGAAAGTTGTTCCCGTTTTCCTCTTGACGCACAAGGACGACTGAATTTTGATGTAATCCTGAGTTAATTGGCAATCCTGATAATAAACCTGGTTTATGATATATTGACGACGGAATTTCGATGTATTCCGGGGGAAAATACTTTCGAAATACCTTCAACGTGTACCAAAACGTTTTCTTCCTGATGTATACTATAAAGATGGAAATATAATCCTGAATAAATTAGTAAACTCAAGGCAAAAGAAACATTGTCGAGGTGATCTAATACAAATACATACAACGAAACAAAAACAAAATGGGCTTAGTTCCTTGGTGTCGGCGCATTTTAGCTGATTTCTATGTGATCATCATTATTTTCGGAAAATAAAACTACAGAAATACACTAAAGATTTCACGATAAAATCAGAATTGTCTGGAAATTCCTCAAACCATACATATTTATTCCCTTCACACTGATAAAACGTTGGGAACCACGAAACTTTCCTGATTTACGATATAATGACGACGGAATTTTGATGCAATCCTAAGTTAATTGGTAATCCTGACAATAAACTTGATTTGTGATATAATGATGGAATTTTGATGTAATTCTGAGTAAATTGGTAATCCTGACCACAAACCTGATACATGATATAATGATGATGGAATTTTTATGTAATTCTGAGTAAATTGATAATCCTGACCACACCGTAAGTGTAGTAGTGAAATTTATGCATGTACAGCCAGCCTGTCACCTTTTAATTTCAGAATTCCAGTCATTGCTAATAAATTAACCTACAAACTTTTATTCATGGAGACAGTGAACCAGCAGAAATTTAGGCATTACAAATTTGCAACAAACTTAATTTTTGTTCATGAGGCGGCAAAGGCCACTTGGTGATAACAGCAAAGAAAAAATATACTGTACCTTGAAAGAAAAAATATACGATACGAAAAAATTTACGATACGAAAAAATATACTATACCTTGGAGAAAATTGCGCGAAAGCATAATTTTTGCAAATAAAATATCATTGTTTAATTTCGAAAATTTTTGCAAATAACAAGTAAATTTGGCGCTGAAGTGGTTATTACAGCCGGCGAATGAATCAGAAAGGATAACACGCATCTATTCATGGGCATATGAGCAACGTAGCTTGCTGTGACATGGTAAATATCGAATATTTTCAATTTATATATGTACATATAATCAGATATAAAGTTTTAAATACAAATATTTTTTCAGTATTGGATAAATGAATATACTACATCGATAGGTTTACGTGTTCTTCATTCCAGCGTTGAAATATTTGGTACAGAATTTGCATATGGTTTACTGGTAAAAGAGATAGCATTATCTTTCGTACAGGATTTGAGGTTGCAAAAACGGGAGATTCGTAGGGTTCCCATCGGTGGGAAAATCAACCTTGCTCTCTAACTTGGCAGGTGTTTACAGTGAGGTCGCAGCCTACGAATTCACAATTTTGTCAACGGTTCCTGGTTGTATTAAAGATAAGGGCGCAAAGATTCAGATAAAATTTTAAATCTAATAGATCTATATACCTATGCATGATGTACAACTTTACTTATTCGATTTCTATATATTTCAGTATCAGTCACCATCTGGGATTAAGTACTTTCGAATGAGGGTGTCTATAAAAGAATACAAGAGGTCTTAACTTCTACATACACCCACTTTCAACGTTGTATACATTGCCACAACCACAATATATTCTTTTCACAGAATTGGTTCATACGACAAAACTTTTTATGAACGACATAACTGTTATTCGTGAGGAATGGTTAACTGAACTATCGTCGCATTACTACTGGATAAAAATTTCATTAAATAAAAGCATTACTTATTAAATTCAAACAGGGCATTCTTATTTTTTTTCCTCAAATTTCTAATTTAGTCATTTTATAAAAGTTCTAAAACTGAATAAATTGTCCGGCAGGAACTTTTAATTGTGTCAAAATTTACGCAGCAAGTCAAAAAAATTTAAGAAATCTGCAATTTATGGAAGGTTTTAAGACCGGAGCGAACTATTGAAAAAAAAGAGAAGTGACCTGGTACTCTAGAGTACTCGCATCTTTCTGAATAGCAGCAATGGCGAAAGCGAAGGCGTCAACCCACACGACAGCCGGTTCTACGTACCGGGATGACTCGGGTATTTTCCGACCAAGGGCGGTTGTTTCGGCGACCTAACCCCATTTAGATCGAGCACCATCAATCGTTTTTCGTCCATGGAGCAATACCATGCATCCTTCTCCTCTGGGTGAGTATTGCGTCCAATCACGGACCAGAAATCTACTTTTAGTGCGTTTCCAGAGACGACTTCATCCGAACTTCACTTCGGTTAGATGCAATACCTTTAATGGAGTCATCTAAAAACCTGCTCAGGCCTTAGGTCGCATACGGCATCAGCACCGAAAGAGCCAGCACGGCTTCAAAAAGCGCAATGTGCTCTATAAAAACCGCAAGCGAGACAATGTTGGAGGATGTAGGATGACCTACATCACACTGCGCAGTATCGGCTAATCAAAGAAGACATCGACCCCAGGGACACTACCCTCGGAGTGAGTTCATGCATGTCCGGTCAAGCGATGTCGAGCTCGAAATATTTAACGTTTATATACTCCCTGTCGCCTGCTGTCCGGCAGGATATTACCCTGAAATATGTGTGTTACTTAGAGGTGAAAACCGTATCGTAGTAAGCGATTTTAACGCGCACTGCGATCTTAGGCACTCAAGCCTGGCCAACGACCGTAGGGGAAAAGTATTGACTAAGCAGATAGAAGTTCAGACATTCTGCACCATGAACGAAACGGCCCTACCAGGATTGTGGGTAGCTGAAGCAACTCGCCAAACCTAACAATAGCTAGCACAGGTTTGATAAAAAGCATAACGCGGCGACTTATGCTAACAAGCGCATCGGCCACCTACCGCCTAGTTCAATTTCAACAGGACCACCGAACCTATTTCAATTTCAACAGAACTAATTGGAACGGTTTCGCGGAGGTTACTGAGAACACCTTCACCGCCCTTCCCAGAAACTGACCTAAAATGGTACACCATTTGCTTTCACCAGTGGTGAAGTCCAGGTATTTCACCAAGGTTCTCAATTTATCAATGGCAACTAAAAACATTCCCGATGTGTGAAAATCGGGAAGAATGGTCCCACGGCTCAAACCGGGGAAACGGGCCAACAAAGGAGAGTCTTATCGATCGATAACGCTGCTTTCCCCGGCCGGCAGCGAAGCATGAGCATGGCTTCCGTAAAGTGCACAGCACAACAGCACTTAACGCCATAAACACATATATATAAGCGTAACCGCCCCTGTGAGAGAACAGTCCTAGTAGCGTTGGGGCTGTCAATGGCGTTTAACATTATCTGAGAGTATCCAATGCGGTGCCAGCTGCTATTGGAAGGGGAACGCTTGCTCAGCGTTGGAATGATCAGGTGTAGTGGGACTTGGCTTCATTTGGTGTTTTCCGAATATTTTCGAGTGCATGAAAGTTCAACCATCTAAGTACATGAATTCCAGAGCACTATAGTACGTACATTATGTACATATGTGTATGTTTTTCTCTATATAAAATAAAATACTGCAAAATATAAAGCGAACATTGACGCAAGACGTCAAATTGGCGAAGGATGCTGCATGCGATTTTTTATAACCGTCGAACTTCTTTCTACTTCTATATTCACACCTACGATTTAACGGTGAATTTCACCTGTTGCCAACTTTCACTCAAATGGAACGCAACGCATATTACTATTTTTCTTTTTCAATGCCTCATATGAATGCATGTACATATGTACACATGTATGTCTGGGCATAAACTACACCAATTACTATATATATACATACATACATTTATACATATGTATGTGTGTACAATAAAAAATGTAAGTGAATCGGTCACGCTGGATGGTCTCGACTCTAGATATGCTGCTGTACTAGAAAAAGCATACTTAGTTTGAAAATATCTTCGAATCAAAACGGTCACCATACCACNGAATCGGTCACGCTGGATGGTCTCGACTCTAGATATGCTGCTGTACTAGAGAAAGCATACTTAGTTTGAAAATATCTTCGAATCAAAACGGTCACCATACCAAGATGAATCGCAATTTGATAAATATAAAACTAATTTTATTTGCCCTGGGTGCAAGTATATAATTTAAAATAATATACTTAAGAATTGTATATATTATTTCTACTGTGCAAATTTTCTAGGAAACACGGGTATGGGCAGTGTGACCAGAATACTGCCGTCATTGAAATTAACGCACTTTTTGAATTGTGAATAGAACAGGCCTGTAATACCCATTTTGTTTAAATGTTTTGTGTTTAAAATATTACTTCATCAAAAAAAAAAGCTCGGTTCATGATATTGAACTGAATATTTGCATACGCCGCAAGTTGGATATTCCAATTTTTAATTTTTTTCAATCATGCGCTAACTAAAACAATCTGGCATATTCACACATCGTCCAAAAATACATATGTGTACAATTTAAAAATAATCTTCTTATATTAGCCTCATTACAGAACACTTGGAGTTTTCAAAGACCAGGAGTGCATGACAAGATTAATCACGTGAGTTTTTAATTTTACTTAAAAGTTTTTACTGAAACCAAAAAAAATTAGATTGCAAGAATACGAAATTACTGCAGCAATGAATTTTACACGATGCAAATTAACATACATAAATTTTTTTTTATTTTGGACTATCACATTTCAATTCAATTTCAATTTTTCGATATTTTTGCAGAGCTGGTTATACGAATATGCCAAACCGACGGCGCTACTTAACAGCCTAACAGGCCGCAGCACAAACGGATTGTCTTTCCATCGGCATAATGCCGAAAGATCTCAAATGCCCTTCTTACCTGTTTACTATCCCAAATACATGTTGAGGCGTAAGAGAGTGCAAATATTACCTCCAAAAAAATATCCATATCGAGGAATCTTGCCGATGAACCAGAACGGAAAAAGGTAGAAACTGTAGGTTTTCCATATGCGATAAGTTGAGCAAATACTATTTTGTGCATAAAATGAAGGATTCCATTGAATTTGCTCAAGTGATGCATAGCCAAAAAGTCCAGCAATGCAATACAAAAGAAATACAAACATACTTTTCAGCAATTTTTTGTGGAAACATATAGAATTAACAAGTAATTTTTAAGCAAACAACGAAACCGACTTCAATTGTCGTATAAAAATTTAAAATTATCGTTAATTTCTTCATGGCGACATTATCGGATTTAAAGCAAATTAGTATGAGACAACCTGTGAGGTAACAACTTTCCTTTAAAAAAAATAATTATAGATATCGTTTAACGTGGTACAAAGTTATGCGGTAACATACATAACAAAAAACATATATTTCGACGAATTGATAACAAACCCGACTTCAATTATCATATAAAAATTTAAGAGTACCGTTAATTTCTTTATGAAGCGGGTATGTATATACCCGGAGGTTTGGCATCCCTGCTAACGGGGGCCGCTGTTAGAAGAAACTAGAAGAATACAGGTCCTACCGTGAGGTAGCCTTTCGGCTAGATCGGTAATACGAATGATAATTGCAGGATTCTTAAGTTTATAATTAAAACATAATAATTAATTAAATTTTTTTTAAATAGGAATCCTTACAGATACTTCGCTCTAGGATATCTACCAGGATCTACTAGTATGCTGAAGAATGTGAAATGGCCAAACTATGCCTTCCCATACAAAAGTTTTAATGCCGTCACCACGCCAAAGACAAATTATTACATGTTAACCCCAGAGAAGCTGAATATAAATTTTCACAGTCGGGAGCCATATTTTACTAATCCAATTTCATCCATGAGCTCAGTTATTTCAAATTACTGTGTTAATGCACATAAAGTCGGTGCTAATTATGCCCACATATTGCCTTTTTGTATCGATAAAGTGCCTACTCTTCCCACGCCGCTCGCCAAAGTGCGCTCTAATAATACAAAATATATTTCTTCTACGCTGCGTATGGAACCTAGCACCAGAAATCCGTACACCCAAGACGTGTTTTCCACCAGCTCACATCTAAAATCAATAAATACATCTCACATATATTTCACTATAGGCGATGCAATCACACCTAGAGCGCTTGTCAGCTCAGACTTCAAAAAAGAGAAGAAAGCTACTAATTTTAAAAATTATGAGACTTTTCTCTCCAATGATTATAACAAACCGAAATCTGATGCCATAGCCTCAGAGCAGTGGACGATGGCGTCGAATCCAATAAATTTACAACAAAAAGCTAAATTATCTCAACCAACAAATGAAGTGCTTACATATCATTTAACTAGCTCACAAGATTTCAATCCATTTGCCTTAACGGATACAAAAGCAACTCAAATGCATTGGAGCCTCGACCAGTTTGAAAACATTACTTGTTCTAATTCCTTATTAGACACAAAAACAAAATGTGCTTCGGAAAATAAAGATCATACAGAAGATAATATTTCTACAGAAGTCTCCACAACTTTGACAGTCATTAGGTCATTACCTATTGTAACAACTATCGCTTTCACCACTGTCTCGACACCTTTAATCAAAGTGCCACAATTAGACAATATATCAACGACTGTGTCCTGGAACTTTACACAGGAACCATATACAAGCAGCAGCCGGCCAACATATAGGAGAGGCAAAATTGCTCAAATCAACAGAAGATTAGTTTTTAAAGAAAAAATTAAAGAAAAGGATAGAATTTCTAAATCTTCTACAATGTCGATACCCATTCGAACCACTGAAGCGAAAACCAAAGAAAAAAGAAAATACACTGCTTCAACATTTCCTTCGCCCAGTCAAATAATATCGTCGTCGCGGACTACGCAACTGGGATCATTATTACGAGTTAATAACACTCTCAAAAAGCGAAAAATAAAATTTCACACGAAAAATCGCAGCCGATGGAGCCCCTCAAATGAAAAGACAAACGAAAAAGTGAAGGGTGCCAACACCCCGACAAGCACCATAATAACAACGATACTTAATTCGACAACTGAGCCTCAAAGAAGTACCAAATCAAGCAAACTAAGATTAAAAGTAAGCAGACACAACAGGAGATCGACCTCTCTGCAGATTGCTGCAACGCGAAGTTTACCACAGTCAACCACCCCAGTGGCCAGTAGCACACCGGAATCCGCAATAATGCGAATATCGAATATGGGTACTGGAAAAAACTCTATAGCTAAGAATAATTCATCGAATTCAATACTCTCCTTTCCAACACCCAGTAGTGGATTTGTTGCTGAGTTACCAATAGTCACATACTTCAAAGAAATAGCTGAGTCCCGGCAAATATGAAACTTGCAAAATAATTTAGTTACATATGTATGTACAAACATAAATATATGTATGTTACATATGTATATACATACATAAATATATGTATGTACTAGGGCTGTGCGTTAATTTGATTATTCGAGCAAGTTGAATAATCAATTGCTCAATTACTCAATTATTCGATTACTCTAAATTTTTTTTTACCACAGGATATGAATAATTTTAAAAATAATTATTCAAAAAACTGTCCATTTTGTTCATATACATATACATATTTGCTTTTAAATAATTGTAAAAAAAAATTAAAAAACTTGCTTCAAAAAGCATAGAAAATTGTAAAATGAAAAACTATTTTTAAATGGCTTAAGTATCAAGGAACTTCCATATTCATATTGAAAAGCTGCATACTGTCGCAGTCACCACTCTTGCAAATATTTAAAAACCGCAGACATGTTCGCCTTAACGACAGACGCATGGACATCAAGAGCAGTCGTATCGTATATGACAATAACTACCCACTTTATTGATGCCAAATGGGAGTTACGTACCCGCACTTAAGAAAATCTGTTGAGGATTGTGCCAGTCGGTGGAGCATGGATGGAAAGTCGGCTTCAATGAAGGGTATCATCGCCAATACATATACTCAATGCACTAATTTGGCGGAATAGGAAAGCAAAGTATAATATTAATGTTCTTTTCTTGAAAACATCATGTTATATTATGTGCTTTGTATATTAAATGCTGTGGGCTAAAAAGGTATTTTACTATCTTTTTGGATTGCTATACAAAACAAACTGAGTCGAAATGGCACATGTAAATGTTGTTTTTAATTAAATATTAAAATTAATCAATTAATTGAGTAACTGGAATTATGATTAACCAAAATTTTGAGTAATCAATCAATCGCAAAGCCCTAGTTTGTAGGTACGCTATATATATTGTGTAAATAAATACTGTATTAAAAAAATTATGGTCTGTGTGGTCGATTTTTTCAGATATCCGAATTGATTTCTTATGTATGTATGTTGTGAAAAAATTCGACAGAACAGAAATTTTATATATGTACATTAGAGTGGTTCAAAAAAACACTCTTTTTGGAAATTCATAAGCGCTACTTCAGAATATTGTTATTTGTGATAAAAAAGAGACACGTATTTTTTTATTTTGAAAAAGGTAATTCTTACAGGTCGCGCTGGTCGGTTTTTTATAAAAACGCTGATGTTCTAAATTTTTTTATTTTCGTGATATGTTAGAGTGCAGCTAAAAATGTGGGTTTTACATATATTTACTCTGGTATTATTGGGGAACAGTCCCTTAATTACACACCTGTCCTGGACAGTTAAAATGGGCCTAGCTCCCGAAAATATGCTCTCGAAAAGACGCTAGTAAAATTAAAACGTTGTTACTGAATGACTTACGCATTGTCATGGGTGGGAACTTGTTACCAGGGGGTTTCTGGGCTTGCCATTTAAGAATCTAAAGTCAGTTTTTCAAAATTCAAAATGGCGGATCCAAAATGGCGATCAATTTTTTTTTTTAATTATTGGATTTGTTCGAATCCCGCCACTCGAGAGTTTTTGGGATCGCCGATTACGAACCTGAAGTAAATTTTTTTTTTAATTCAAAATGGCGGATCCAATATGGCGATCAAATTACAAAAAAATTACTAAAATTAAAACGTTGATACTGAACGTTTTACGCATTGTCAAGGGTTGACAGTCGTTTCCAGTGGGATTCTGAGCTTGCTGATTATGAATCTGATGTCAGATTTTCAAATTTCAAAATGGTGGATCCAAAATGGTAACCAACTTTAAAAAAAACTTATTAGATTTGTTCGAAACTCTTAACCGCAATTTTGAATTTTTAAAATCTGACATCTGATTCGTAATCAGCAACCCCAGAAACCCACTGGAAGCAAGTTTCAACTCCTGACAATGTTTAAAACGTTCAGTATCAAAGTTTTAATTTTAGTATTTTTTTTTTTAATTTGATCGCCAATTGGATCCGCCATTTTGAATTTCAAAAAATTTACTTCAGATTCGTAATCGGCGACCCCTAAAAAATCTCGAGTGCCGGTTTTCGCCATTTTGGACCCGCCATTTTGAGTTTTGAAAAACTGACTTCCGATTCCTAATTAGCAACCTCAGAAACCCCCTGGTAACAAGTTCCAACCAATGGCAATGCGTAAATCGTTCAGTAACATCGTTTTCATTTTACTAGCCTCTTTTGGGGAGCATATTTTCGGGCACTAGGCCCATTTTAACTGTCCAAGACAGGTGTGGTAACGACATCCCGAAAATTCCGGGATCGTAAAAAGCGAAAAATTAACTTCCCTAATGTACATATGTAAATATTTATATATTTATATATATGTATAATTACATAAATATATAATTACCATCATACAGAATGTTTGCGTGCATTGCATCTATTAATTACTGCAGAACCGAATTCGGTATGGAAGTGGGGCAAACATAACTAATAAAAGTTAAACTGTTGCCAGTCAGATAATCATAGTTGCCGTCACGTAAACATAAACATGGATTTTAAGCATTGAATTTAAGGCAAAATGCGAATAGATCATTTACTCAAAATAAAAGCTGTGGCTTTTATAAAAAATATTCGTCAGTGTTTTACGACACCGAGGTACATATAACAAATATCGATGCCTAACATTTATTCTAGTACAAATACAATATGTACCTGGGCTAATTCAAAAAAAAAAAAAACAGATCCGGAAATATAACTGCTTATGGATTGTACAAATTCAACGCGATTAATACAAAAACAGATATGACAGTAGTTTTTTAATTAGTGTATATCATCATGAAGAAAAAATATTTGCTCTAATTGTGATTGATTTATGCAAAAAAATCGCCCTACATTTTTTTTTTTTTTTTGAGTTTGCTCTCATTAAATCTATGTGTGCGATATGTACATAAGCTTTTTGTACGTTAATGATTTTACATGCATACATATGTATATTTATATATTGCAGATTATTTTGGGCCGTGGTTATCAGTATATCTTGCTGGAATATGTCATCAATTTTTCTTTTAATGCTGAAAAGATACTTTTCTGATTCGATAAGTATAAGTGTGGAAACTTCTTTTCTGCATTGGAATAACACATTTCCGTCTATAACGTTTTGCTTGTCGAAAAATCGATCAAATACGGAGGTCATTAGCTATGTGAATCAGCGTAATATCAATTATATAAAAAATATCCACAACTATTTGTTTGTAACTCCGACTAGCATAAATACAAAAGAAGAATATTGCAAAGGCTTCAACTCAACATGCGGAGTAGATATCCGCATTGCAAGGGAAAAAGTAAGTGCATATGCAGTGCCGTCGTAGGTCGAGTATGTATACGACAAAAACCATTAATTTATGTACATACGACGCATTTTCACCTAAACGAAATTTTAGCATCATTATTTTATAAACTCACTTCATTTTCAGTTACTTACGCAAGTTTGCGGATCTATAATGATGGGGGTAACATTTTTGGAGCAAGAATACGACTGTGAAAAAATATTTAAATTCCACGAGCTTGAAATGGGTTATTGTTTTCTTGCTAATAATATTTTGGATCAGTAAGTCAAATGAAGTAAATCTTGGAGCCAATTTCGAAAGCACAATTTAAGTACAAATCGATGAATTTTTTCTTTCGAAAATTCCCTGTTTTATCGAATGCATTTAAAAAACTACCAATGCCACCTTACATTTAAATGTGAACTCATAATTAACATACATTCCAGCTATGTTTATACTTTAGATTTGAAATTGGAACTTAGAGCCACATATTTGAGTTCATACATACAATGAAGCATTCACATTAGGGCCGGGTTTTTTTTTAAATCGTATAGCAAAAACGTAAACTACATAGAATTCTAAGAAAATTCTCCGAAGAAACCATGTATCTAAAATAAAATCCTAATCCGCGCCTCTCGACTTGAAAATTTATATGGCCGCCTTTGCCAAAAAAATAAATGTTAGAAAAAATAGTTTTTCCAAAAAGAAATCGAATTTTCTGAACAAAATTGTTTAGTAAGGTAGTTCTTTTGCACTTTACATGTTTTCTACACTCAAAATTTTTTTTCATTAAAAAAAATATTCACCCGAGTAAAAAAGTTTGTATATATTTTTTTTGCTTTTTTGATAATTGAATATTTTGATTAGTCTCAAAACAATACCTGTATTGCATAAACTATAATATAATATAATAAAACATAATATATTTCAAAAAAAGAAAATAATTTTAGCGAAAGAAGAGGAAAAAAATTTTCAAGTCGAGAGGCGCGGATTAGGGTTTGATTTTAGACCCATGGTTTCTTCAGAGAATTTTCTTAGAATTTAATGTAGATAACGTTTTTGCTTTTTTTACGATTTTTAAATTTTTTTTCATCCATACAAATCAACTTGCCCTAATGTACATACATACATACATACATATACTTACATACATACATATGTACACATGTATGTACATACAGTTGTGATCAGCTGATTAAGTTTTTCTTTTGTTTATTTAATGTTTATTATTTTTCCATAAAAGTCTAGCTCATTATATAACAAACACCATATAAATCCACATTTCAAACATTGTGCAAAAATTATAAAAAATCTGCAAAGTTTCAGCTAAATTTTCAACTTTTTACTCGGATTTTTAGAATCTTTTTGAGTTTAAAGTCCATTAAATTCAATTTAATTTCAAACCAATAACAGCAAGCACCTCTGCAAACTCAGCTATAGCCATCACAGCGCCCGGCAGTGCCCGCGAGTGACGCAAGCATATATCGACCGTTGAGTGGAAGATCGACCTATCTCAGCAGCCAGTTCGAAAACGCCCTATCTCAAAGAACTTATCAGGAACGCCCTTTTTGAGAATTTGGTTGAAGAACGCCCTATTTCAGAATTCGTTTCAAAAACGCCCTATCCCAGCTGCCGATTCAAAAATGCCCTATATCAGCACATTTTCAATACGTTTTGAAGTGAGATAGGGCGTTTTTGAACCGAATTCTGAGATAGGGCGTTCTTCAACCAAATTCTGTATTTTCGTTTGAGATACCTAATTGAACCTAATTCTGAGATAGGGCGTTCTTCAATCAAATTGGGAGATAGGGAGTTTTTCAGTAAAATTCTGAAATAGGGCGTTCTTCAACCAAATTCTGAAAAATATTTCTAGATAGGGCGATT